GACTCCGGCTGCGAGCCGCTGCCTCTCTTGCCCCGGGAGGAGGGTTTTTTCAGTTTCTTATTTGTATCCAGCTCCTCAGGAAAGCGGCACTTCTTGCCGGCTGGCTTGGCTTTCTCCCGCAAGGTCTGTGAACCGTTTTCCAGCCCGTTGGCAAAGTGGGGCCGGTGTTTCAGGGCAGAGCTTTTCAAAATCTTGACGTTTCGGGTGCCTTTGTGAAGCTTCACACTTTGCTGCTGGGCCGGTATGTACTGGGCGTTCACCAGCAACCCATCGTCCAGGCTCTGGGAGGAAGAGCCCTCGCTTTTGAAATCCAGCGCGGGCCTCTCCTCGACGGCGGGTGACGAGGAGCGAGCTGCCTTTTTTTTGGGAGGCTGGCTGACCCTGGTCTCTGGCTGCAGCACCGCGGGCTTCCCCGGGCTCTCTTTGGGAGACGCAGCAAAGAGTTGGCCGTTCTCCTTGGGGACGTCCCCCACCGTGGCCACGGCGTTGCGGTTGACCTCCAGGGGTGCCGGTTTGACGCCCCGGGGCAGGTGCTTGCTCTGAAGCTCGCTTGTCGCACCGGGTGGGAAAACCCCTGGCAAAGGTGCCTTCCTGCTCTCCAGCTGCTCACCAGCCGGCTCCCTCGGCCTCTGCTTTAACGGGGAGGGTGCTGCGTGGTCCAGAGCGGCGCTCCCACCAGAAGGCAAGCACGCTTGCTTGGAGTTCTTCAAGTTAACGATGTTGCCATGAGCCACCACCCCCGCAGGCTGCCTGACACACATGCTGCCATGCCTCAAGATCCCTTTGGTGGGATCGGCGTTGAGACTCGTCCTCGGTTTGTTAGTCCTTACCGCGTGAGTCTTTCTCTGAACCAAGCTTAAGATGTAACTGTCTATCCTCTTGCTGGTGGAGGGGCACGGCGCTGGCCAGGAGCTCTGCGGGAGGAAGGCGCTGGTGGATTTCCCCGAGTCCATTTCAGATCCGGTGCAAACGTCGTTAATATTGCAACCAAGCCTCTCCTCTTCTCGCTGGGGGTTTTCAGTCACGGGGAGAAGGAACATGGGACTCTGCACAGCTACCGCGTGGAGTGGGCTGGGGTACCGGTAGACGTCGCTCCCGTTTTTAGACACCAGATCACACTGGTACTTTGGGTGTACATCTGCAACGACATCGAGGGAATTTGAGTGCGGTGTGGACAAAGAGCGACAGACAGAGCCTGCGGGCTGGTCCTCATGCTGGCCTTCCTTATTATAGTCCATCCAGCCTATGAGATCTGAAAGGCATTTTAGAAGAGTTTAGAGAGCCTGCCAGGGACCGTACTGCCACGTTTCTCACGTGCCATCAAGGACACGGGACCCAGCTATGCCTTCGATGCAGTGTTTGTACCACGGCAGCCTTGTTCAGACAGTAGAAACCTTGCAACCAGGGATGCCAGTCAAGCAGCACTGCTCTACTTGGGGTCTCTTTGTAACTGCATCTATGTAGGATTTGCCTCAATGTGACTATGTGGTTAACAAAATTAAAATCTCAGCCCTAATGAGAACATTTACATTGGTTTCAGACCTGTGCTGAGGTTGCTAAGAGCTTCCTATTTCACATCCAAGCCATCCAGGAGTCTGTAAAGGTCTCTTATCTTTATATGTTACACAGCCACCTGTAAAGCTCACTGCAGGCCTCAGTATGTGTGAATTTTACATTTTACTTCACTAAATCCAAAGAGAAGCATAAAAACATAGACAAGAGACCAAGGAGTTCTTTTAGGTTGTTGACAAATTTCACTTCCATATTTTTTCAAGCCCATCTTGAGGCAGAAAAAAAAAATCCAGATTTAATATTGGTGGTGTTATTATTACCATTACTACTATTATTATCATCATTATTTTATAATTATAACAATGCTAATAACAGATGCTCCTTTTGAGAAATAAAGGGTTAAAGAATGGGAAGGAGGCTGATCTTGCCACATGAGTACAAGGAGTGCAGGTCAATCCAGCTGACATCCTGGCCTTGGCTCTGCAAAAGCGTTCTGTAAGAGAAATCCAGTGCATTTCAAGATGCATGAGTCAGATTTAATGGCTAAGTCACTTACTTAGGAGGGATGGGACCTTAGGAGCATGTCTTCAATCCAAGCACCTAAGATTATTATTTTCTTAAGCTTATGTTGCCCTTGTCTTCTTGGGTAGGGGCACAATCTAAATGATCCTTCCAGATCATTGTCAGTCCTGTTTTCTACCCTTGGGCTAGAAACTTCAGCCAGGGTACTCAGATTAGAATGCTCAGTGCTCATCACTTATCTAAAGCTTATTTCAAAAGAGGTCTCAGAGACTTTGATGAAATTAGCTGATACAGATGATGTGCCTGTGTGGGCAGCAGAGGAAGAACAGGGAAGTTAGGGGCAGGAACTTCCTCCAGATCACCTCACAGTTTTCCCACATTTCCTAAATTCTATGTCAGTCAGGAATCATTGTCAAAAAGACTTCTTTGCAACGTGCCAGTCTGTGACATTTCATCTCACAAGTGAGACAGTTTGATTAATGAGGCAGGTTCTTGTGATGTACACAGAAAAAAAATCAGCAATGAATGAATCTGCTGGAAATCCTTGTGTATGTTTTTCTGTTTCTGTATAGCCTATGAAGCTCACATACACATTACATCAGGGAGCAGTAAATCACCTCAAGCTGCTCAGAGGATAACTTAGAGGACTTTGCAGCACCTCAGAATGAATGTATCCAAGGCTGTTTTCCCACTTCAGAGTTAGAAGAATTTGAATTATTTCATTCTTGATTCACACAAAAAAAAATCACTATAAATTAACCCTAAATTGGGAATTGGAAATACTATGGTTAGAAGCATCCTCCACAACACAGAACAAACTAAGGCTCTAGCATGAGCATGTTTGCAACCAATAATGCTTGACCACTACAGTGCTACTCGTGTACTTTCTGGACATCAGACAGAGGAAGCCTTCTTATTTCACCATCCCACACATTAAGGCTTGAAACTTCAGCCTACTGTCAAAGGAAACTCCACAGCTCTCTGCCAAAGAGACAAAATACTTCCTCCTTGTTCACGATGTCTATTTGTATACACTCTATAAACGCAGGACACACCTCAGCATGGTCACCTGGGGTCGAGGAGCACCAGAACTGACAAAATGACTTCTACAAACCATGATGTTCATTCTAGCCTCCCAAAACCTGTAGCTAGCTCCTTGCTCTATCACTTTAACGAGGACATGGCTGTTGAGGTATCTTTCATTACTGCTGTTCAGTAAGAAAGCTTTTCTAAAGGAAACCATGAGAAATTAGCCGACTAATGTGTTTGTGTGTGTAGGTACCACTGCCCTCTACTGGATAGAGCAGCTGTGATATTTTCCCATTGCATTCATGTGTTTAGAGTGACAGTCACATGTAAGGCTGGAGCAGTGGAGGAGAAACCATCCTGCCTTGTGACACATGTACGTGATAGGCACTGGAATCTTTTCAGAGCACAATACATCAAATGAAAGGAAGACGGGTTAATCCAACCCAGATACTCCTGAGGCAGTATTTCCAAAGCCAAAGCCACCTCCTGGAGTATGATGTATTCGACCTGCTTTTACTATACCTGCAGATTTAGGGCGTCCATCTGAGATATTCAGTGTTGCCTCCAAAGGGCTGCAAAAGCAAGTGCTAGAATGGCAACTGGATAAACACTCACTGAAGACAGAGTTAGATGAATTGGAGAGCGATCCAGAAGCTCCATCACTCAGCTCATAAAACCCTATAAAAATAAGAGTGTGGATTTATATTAGTTATGTCTACACAGAGTTACCATTTCTGTCCCTAGAAAGGCAGTCAAAGTCATGTTTACATTGGCTTACTCTACTGCAGCTAGTTAAGGGATTTCATTCAGTCATCCAAAAAAGAGTGCACAGTTTAGTAATATCCTTATTGCTATGAAGGATTCTGTTTAGAAGTAAAGCACTTAAGCTGAACTTTACTCAGCATATGAAATGTTGAACTTACCTTTAACCTTTCCAGGGATTCGGGTTTTATTCTTTACAGGGGTTTTTAGATTTTAGCAAGAAGATTCCAGGCTGTTTGACACAGCATTCATTTATTAATGTATTATACTTCAATAAGTCAAACTCTCCAGCTATTTATTACTGGACTACAAAATTTTTACCAAGTGCTAGGCCCAGTGCTATCCATTATTTTCATCAAAGTTCTGGAGATAAATAGTGGATAGCGTGAAAGAAGGAAAATGGTAAATATACAGACACAGAAAAATTTATTTTTTGGTAAACTAGGTCTATTCAAGAAAAAAAAATTACATATTATAATCAAGATTTAAATTTAGGAAGGAGGAATGCAGGGCATGTCTACAGAACAGGGATGCATCCTGGAAAACAATAATCCTGAAAAGGACTTAGTCAGCATGGAAAAGCAGCTCAATCAAGCTTAATGATATGGCAAAAAAAGCTAATGAGATTGTTGGATGTGCAAAGAGACTAATGAATAGCAGTAGGGAAATGACTTCAGCAGTCTATACAGCACTGGTAAGAAAGACACTGGAACAGTATGCCTAGTCCTCGACTCCAGCACACTTAAAACAAAGCTAGAAAACTGGAAAGGGGCCATAAAGCTATTTAAGAGCTTGGAAAAATGCCTTGAAACAAATGACTTAATGAACTTGACCTGTTTTGCTCATCAAAAAAAGTCAGGAATTATACTGTATAGCACCTCCAAGAGGAGAAAAAGACTAGGAAAGACTTTAGTCCATGGGAGAAAAGCATACTAAAAAAAAAAAAAGAAAACCCAAACCACAATGATGGAACAAGTCAAATTCAGATTAGAAATTAGCAGTGGTTTTACCATTGCAAGTTGGTGAATTCTCCACTTTTTAGTGTCTTCGGCAGAAGTCTAGATGCCTCTAGGAAAGGTTCCCCATAGTTAAATACCACTTACTGGCTTCAACACAGTTAGAACGGGATAAAATTCAATATATGGGGGATAAAATTGTTTGATTCAGTGTTCCCTTCTGGCTGTAAAAACTCAATTATGACATTTCCTCCTGCTGGTGCTCCTTCCTTTCACCATTTTTCCTGCAGCCTCCTTCCTAATATACAGAAGAATTAGAACTTTTTGAACTAATTTGTGGGTGGCCTTGAGAAAAAAAAAAAAAAAAAAAGAAGCCTTGAACACTAAAAACCTAATTAAGCTTGAAATGCTTCTCTGAGTGTGTTGTCTACAAACAGCAGCCTTTCCAGTGGTAGGTGAACTTTGCTAGTAGGCATTAATTATCAGAGTGTGAACGTGCTATAGATATTTACTGTTGTAGCACTGAAAACTACAGGCAGTTGAATTCCAGGTACCAAGGGAGGCTCCATTTTGCTGAATATTGGCCTTACCTGAACTTGGACGACTGTCTGTCTCAAGGTGTTCCTCTGTTGTTTTCTCCACATCCAGGCGGAGATCACTTATTTGCTTATCTAGCTCTTGTAACTGATTTAACAGGCCGGCGTCCCTCCTCCTCAAGCAGTTCTGGAAAACATGAAGACAACCAACATCAGCTCCTTCTGTGAGACAGACATGAAGGGGCTTCCAAAGACAATCAGCCTTCTCCATCTGAGCACAGTGGAAATACCTTGCCAGTATTCTTTTATATAAAAGCCAAAACAGGACAAAGCCCTGAAATACTAGATAGAAGCTCTGGATAACTACTTAACTGGGTCATTATGCAGACACTTCATTCCAGCCTCTTCTAGCCCATTCTACCTAAAGAGCATGCTCCACAATTCAGGAAACCCAACATACTATGTTGGCAAAGTGCTCTCTCGCAGGACCACAGCTTTAACAACAAAGCTGCCTCATATGATGTGGCCAAACCAGACCTGTGCTTGTGAAACAGGCTACTTTGGTGAAAGGACAGCTTTGCCAGTGTAGTAGGGGACATTCACCACCATGGTGATGTTAGTGCAGGATCACATCTGTTCACAGTGGGACAAAACAGCTCTGCCAACAAGCGCCCGTAGCGTGGGAACCACCTTATTCTGCTCCACACAATGAGCTTACAGTCCACCATATAGACAGCAAGATTCCCAGGGCTGGGATCACAGCCCTTTTATTAGTTTGGCAGTGCAGCACGAAGGCAGAGTAATTCTTCCTCTTCTGCCGTTATAACCGCATGAAATTGCTGTGAGATGAATTTTAAGGCTATTTATGAAGGCAATTTGATGGCATAAAATAAGCAGTAAGAAATGATTTTGTAAGGCACTCATTAACCCACGGTCAACGCAATCAGTTTCCCTGCATGTATTATAATGTTGCTTATCCATCATCTGCTCAGCTTCATACCCTTTAACTGTTCTGGCTTTGGGGAAAGTGAAGGAGGCAGGAGGAGGTTTATCTCTGGTGCTCTGATAGACTCAGAGCAACGAGTTCTGATGCCCCTAACTGGACTACTTCTAAACCCATTAAATCCAGGACAACCTTTCCTCTGGGGTGGGCCAGTCCTCGGGCAAAGGGAAAGAAAATGCCAATGGTGTTAGTGAGGGTGTTTGAAGATGTGCTGGCATGCAACACCATCCTTGGAGAACCAAAGGGGCGATCCCAGGTCTTCTCCCACATTTCTGAGGGGAGCCAGAGCTGGCTGGGAGCCCGGCTGGTAGAGGTGACGGGTTCAAGCGATGACTCCCTGCGCCACCTACTGCCACCAGCGTCCCCCCGCCCCCAGCTAGCACCGCATCTGGTTCCAATCTGCAATGTCAAGTGCACAAATTAAACTGCTACCACAAATCCCCCCTCCTTTTTTTTTTTCCCCTTTGAGTAACGATTCCCTGATCCTTCACTACAGCTCTTCGGCAGGCAGCCCCTTCTCAACGGCAAAAGAATTTATTTTAATCTTTTAAAGAACGAAATCATCCTAAATTAACTAAATAAAAAGGCTAATGAGAAAAACAAAACAAAAAAAAAAGCGGAGGGGTTGGGGGGTGGGGAGGAAGGAGGTTTGGGGAAAAAGAAAAAATCAGGCAAATAAATCACACAATCCAACTTCTCCCTGGGTGAAAGCAAATGCTGAGCCGTGCACAAAGACCGCCAGGCACAGCTGTACGCTATTTTCATTGAAAAATGATCTGCAGCTTCATGCCGCCCTCCATCTCTTCCCACACCAGCTACAAAGCGCGTCCTTCAACAAAAGCATCCCTTATTTTAAGGGCCCCGATCCTGCCCGTGCCGAGCGCTCGTTACCTCCTCGTGGGGTAGAGACCCAGGAGCTCGCTCCCAACTTCCATTCAAGGCGAGAGAGGCGCTGCCGTTGCC